AGAGAGAGAGAGAGAGAGAGAGAGAGAGAGATCTATACCGTAGTGTCCAGAAGAAACTCATAAATGTATTCATTTAAATTATCGTTACTAAAAGCCTTGTACTACCCACTCATGCAGGATAAATGAATCCTACGTCTTCTGGCACGATGACTGGATGAATACATTTTCAAGTTTCTTTTGGATACCACTAATCTATCTGATGGCGGAAAATAGGAAAGCGGGTGATTGGAGGGCACCACTGGTACGTCCTACTTCTCTACTTTCCCTCCGTTGATTCCGTTTATCTGTCTTACTTTTTCAAAGCACAAAATGACTATTATTGTGTTGATGTGCTTCTCTTTACTCAAACAAACGAAAGAAAAAGGACAGACGAGCTATAGGACATCAGGCTGTCACCGAGGGAGATTCATCGGCTGACTCCCGAGTCCAACACAATATTGGGTCAAGCTCCTCTCTGGTCTCAGCCTCTGTGCTTAGCAGCTCTGACACATTAAAATATTTCATCTACGAGCGTATGTATAGAGTCGCCCGAGATGTGATTACTCAAAATCAACCTAAAAAAAATCGGATTTGGCAAAATTGTGTGAAATCAAAGAAACTTAACCACGTTTGTGTTGGATGTATATTAGTATTGGAGGATTTGATGTGTTTTGAATATCAAAAGATTGGAGAATGTTATCTTCTCAGCAATGATCAATATCTTATTATGGTAGTTTCAAAAAGATTGGAAAACAGAGCAGTCAAAAATACGACTCAAAACTTGCACTTAACATTAAAATTTATAGTTTTGTTTTGGAGCCATTGATTTCGTATTAATTCGATTTTCGACAGAGGTATATATCAGAGAGGAACTGTTATGGTTTGTAGTGGTCTGGTGGATGGACTGAACAAAACCCCACTCGTGAGAATCTACAGAAAAGTGTGTTTAGACGACAACATCGCGGAAAGTGGTGGAACGTCATGCCTTTCCTTGATTTCGTCATGGTGTCATTCAAATAAGCTCCTTTATGCACGATTAAACACCTTCTCAGAGGACTATCGCCACAAGAAAATTCTTGAAAAACCAAATCATACCAAAGATGGAGTGGTCATCAAGAAATAACCCCCATATGAATCCGATAGGTATGAGGAGCCTCATGAAACACCAGGTGAAGACACGCGACTTTGTTTCCAATCCAAACTCTCTGTTTTCACCTTTCTGTGTCATTTGGGATAAAATGGCAGACGATTATGTCCAAAATTTAACGCAATCGACGCCCAATATGTTCAAGCTTTTCACGAAACCGATGTCTCCGAAACAAAATGCTCTATTGGGCAGATTTAATAAAAAGTCCAAGTTTTGCACAGTATTAGCGACAGCTCTGTTTTTTATAATCTTTTTGAAACAGTCATATCAAAATAATATTGCGTATTGCAGAGACAAAATTCTTCGTTCATGTTATTTGCAATACGTGTCTATTCCACTAATGCAATGCTGATGTACCCCAATACACGCGCAAGCACACTTTTAAGTTTGTTTGATTTCCCACAATTTTGCGGTCAGATCTTTCAAGGTTAATTTTTATTTTGATTGACTATATCTCGGGTGATTCTTATTGTAGATGAAATATGTATGTGTCAGATGATACAGAATTTATTTAACTCTAATTTTGTATGCTGCACGACAGGGTAAGGCCTTTCTTTAACTCGATGATCGGGTGAATACATTTTAAAATTTCTTTTGGGCGCCACTATACCTATCTATCTATCTATCTATCTATCTATGAGAAAGCCACAAGTCACCTCCATTTCATTGACACAGCTCTGTCGCGAAAGTCACTGTGAACTCAACAGGGCGAAGATGTCACACACACACAGTCACTCATGTTGATGATCTCAATGCGACTCGGCCCCACTTCAAAATCTCGTCCTCTTTTGAGTCCGCCTCCCCACCTCTCTCCTCCCCCCTCTTCACTACCCCATTTCATTTCACGTGCTCTCGTAACGTGGTGGTAAAGGGTCTGACGGTTGACCTACATAATGAGCCGTCCAGTCCATCTCTCGCGCTTGACAATGTGAGCAGTCAATGTGCCTTAGTTCCGATAAACGAATGTTGTGCCTTTTGGATAATTCCGAAAACAGAGGTAAGCTATCTATCAGAAACCAGGCATTCACCCTCACTGCCCCGCTCTCTGTCTGTCTGTCTGTCTGTTTGTCTGTCTGTCCGTCTCTCCCTCTCCCCCCCTCTCTCTCTCTCTCTCTCTCTCTCATGCTTTCCATCACCCGTTTGATTCCCACCATCCACCAAAATATCAAAAATGGCTTACTGTTGGTGATATCGAACAGGTTGGCAAGCTGATGGGGACTGCGTAGTATGACTGACTTTGTATAAAAGATCATAAACATTTTTTCCAAAGCTTCCTAAGGCGACACTAAACTTTAACATTTTCACGGTCAAACTAAGTTTGACTTATAGACCTACCTCGCCAATGATAATGTTACATTAAGTCAGCCTCTGTGCTTTTTAAATAGAATTAATTCTCTTGCCGTACAGTATACTATGCTAGGAGAAAACACAATAACAGCATTATATTCAGCGCACACTGCAGAAAGTTTGGTCAAATGTCCATGTTACATGGTTCTACACCCTTGAGTACCCCCAGATTTTCCTTTACGTAGGTGCAAAAGGTACCATTTTTGTCGAATTTGATAGAATCTTCCAAAACCAACCATTTGAATGGGTTGTTGGTAGGTGCTCTGTTGTGGATTGCTCCTTCTTTTCTATCAAACATCTGTTGTTCTTATCACTCCTTTTTCTTTTTTGTGTGTTTGATACGCTCTTATAACACCTTTAATCCTCGTTACTTAATATGGCATAGTTGTTGCATAGTTGTGTTGCAAATTCCGTTAAACTTTTACTAAAACTTAACTAACCAACCATTTCA